AAGTTTGATCTTATGAAATTTAATAAATTTGTTTAGTTTTTTGTTCTAGGTTGATGTATACACACACTTTTAGGTAAGTTTTATCTTAGAAAATCAAAAGAATTATTCATTTTTTTAATTCTAGGTTAATCTCGATATGGAATTTAGGTGAGACTGATTCTATGAAATAAAATAAATGCCGTTATTTGTTTATTATAGATTGATTCAAGTACAAAAAAATGCAGTAAGTTTGATCTTATAAAATGATTATATTTGTTCATTTCTATATTATAGGTTGTTTCAATTATGGAAATCATCGATGGATTTGGTTTTAACTCTCTGATGCCGTCCGTGGTATGCATACTATTCGAGTATTTCTGAAAACCAAAGTATTGTATAGGTCAAATAAATCAAAAGGAAGCGGGTGAATTGTCTATAGAGTAATTTATCTTCATTGATGCAGAAAATTACTCTATAGACTATTCTCACTTACTTTTGATTTATTTGATCTATACCATACTTGGGTTTCCAGAAATACTCGAATAGTATGCACACCACAGACGGCACCAGGGGATTAAATGAACCTTTTGACTGGGCAGAGAATTGGAAGAAGGTTTAGTGCAGATAGTTTTGTACGGAACCTTTTTTGAATTCTTTTTGTGCGGTATGGTACGAAACTATTGGTACAAAACCTTTTCTTTGAATGGATTTTGAAAGGTTTGACACGAAACCATTGCTACGAAACCTTTTTTTTGAATTATCGAAAAGGAGGTCGGTACGAAACCCTTTTTCTACGGAACCAAAAAAGGATCTCACCGTGTGTCGAGGATAAGATTCTTTTTAGGTTCTGTAAAAAACCTTTTTCTTAGAGTGCACCCACACCCACATCCACATGACTTGTAAAAGACCTACACTTTTATTTAATAATGTTGATGATGAGCAGTATTTGAGAAAAGCAGTATTTTTATTGTTAAATGATAAAAGGCGAAATATATAGTAGGCAAACTCAGAACATTGAAAACTGTAAATAGTAGCACAAAAAAATAAAAAGAATTTATATAAGAGCAGCAATCCATATATTATTTAACTTGTTAACAACGAAGATCATTCAAGTTATTCATTAGTTCTATGTATATCTTTTGATTATCGTACAACTTGATGTTTTTTATAAGTTTATTTCCATCCCAGCGTATGGGCAGACCGAGTTGCTTCGTGGAGGAATGCACATGTGCCAGTTGTCGATATTGACGATATTCATATTTATATTCATATCTGGTAACATCTTTAAGAAATGCACTGATACGATAGCAATCAGTGCACGAACATGGTAAACGTGTGTTTTGAAAAACATCATAGGTTTTGTTCATTTCGATCTGGAGCGTTTCAAGTTTTGATTTAACTATAGTTCTGCAAAAATGAATTAAAGCAAGATACCAAGAAGCATGACAAGGATAGATTTCTTTCAGAAATGGAAATATAACTGATTTAATGATGTATTTTATCATACAATCAACGGTCGTTTCATATTCAGAATTGACTGATTGGTAGCCATTGGTAGAATCATGATCAATAAGTGTTTGTATGTTCTGATTTATATTGCCTAATGATTGATTAATTTTCGAATTAATATCAACCATACTTATTATTTTGAGAAATGAACATAAACTTTTGATACTAAATGTAGATTTTTTATAGAAATAGTAATGTCGATTATGTTCAAGTTTATGCTGATTTTCCGTTTGTTGTTGTCGATTTGAAATAATTTGTTGTACGACTTGAATAACAATTGCTGAGAATATTTCAATCATTTGAGTTAATATATATTGCAATGCTATTGTTTCTTCTTCATTTAAGTGATTTTCTTTGTCATTTCTATATATAAAGCAAAATAGTTGCGTATTTCTTAATAATAAAAGAGAAAGTTAAGAGATTAACGTTTTATATTTGATGTTTCAATTTTAAATACCTGAATATCTTTTTACCTTTTGGTGTTTATTAATGATATAAATTTCGAAAGAAAAGTTGTAATGCGTTCAATTCTGTTTTCCAGATTGTTTTCTGATAAATAACTCGCTGATTGTAGTTCTTCATGAAAAAGAGAAAGTACTTGATCGGCAATTACAGTCCATTCAAGTACATTGCCAGCACCAAACAAAACATCCGCCATTCGTTCGTACATTCCATATTGTGAATTAGAAAATGCGGAGAAAAATGGTTTAATAAGTAATGTTTCTGCAATCAAATTTTTGACAGTAATAGTCACCTCCTGATTTGTCTTATTTAAAAGAGCAAGAACTATAAGACATTGAATCAGTGGTATACGAAACTGATCAGCTAGTTCGAATCCCGATTTTAGAATTCCCTTGGTAATTAAATCTAAAGTTGCAGACGTCACACCTGCGTTATCTTCCGAAGGTTTACAATCTTGTAATACATTTAGAACGTGCCATAATTCATAGTTCACCCTGTACATAAGTTTACCATTCTCTTCGGATGGATAGACAATAAGGTCGTAGCGATATTTTTCAGGAAGAAGTAAAAGTGCACTTAGATTATACCAATGATGACTATATTCTGCTTCATTTCCTATAGTGAAACATATCAAAGGTTGTTATAACAATACAAAAGTGTTAAAATACCTGTCCAAGGTCCTTCAATAGCTTTTAGTTTGAGCTTATTCCATATGTTTTCATCTAACAAATCGGTGCTTGAAACAGAAATTTTTTCTTGATGTTGATAATCGAGAATCGAGCAGTATTTTGTGAAAGGTTCATATGGATCACCAAATGGTTCGTAGTATTGAATTTTAATAGTATCATCGGATTGTTCTACCATTACACAATAGAGCATTAAATGATTTTGATGATTTTGACAAGCATATTGAACAATTTCACCAGTAATCGCATCTTTTCCTTTTAATAGAGGACCATTTTTCATACTTGCTTTCGTATATTCATGATCAAGTGGAATAATCAACTTTCTCAAAATCTCATTATTCCATTTGTCGTTGTATAACATTTCCAACCATAAAGCAAATATGTCATGCAGCTGGTTAATAAGAACGGAGTTATGTTTTGTCTCAACTAGTTGCTTATTATCAAGTTTTGGTAGAAGAACTACATTATAAGCGAGAACCAGACGATATCCTTTAGTCACTGGCAATAATTCATGCTCACAATCAGCATACAACACAACATAATGGATATTTTGTGTGTCTTTAGAAAAATCAAATATTTTCTCACGTCGTTGATGTCGCACAACCAATTCTCCACCGGTATAAAAAGATGGTAAAACAACAAGTAACGTCGCAAACATACCATCCTTTTTCTCCGTATCTCGATGTGTTTTGAAAAAGCTACCCGTTTCGTAGAGTAGTACTTTGTATAATTCAATGTCAATCTCATCCCTCGTTCGTTGCAGTCCAAGATTATTGATGATTCATTCTTTTAGGATAGCCGTAGTTTCAAAAGGCCAGAGCGAACTTGTCAATTTCAAAGCCTTCGGTTCAAGCTGCCATGTATGTCGGACCTAAAAATCGAAACAAAACCGTTAACAAAGAATCGTTTACTAATACTCACTCGGAGATCGTACAAAGTCTTGTCACGAAGTCCAAAAGGTGCTAATTGACATTGGTTGATGATTTTCCTAGCTTGTGCTTCATCTAATGGAAAAACAAGTGGTTCAATACCGTCGATAACAACATTTGGCAGAGCAACATCAAGCTGGCCACCTCCACAAAAATCTCCAGAGCATTGAATTTTGTCTAAGACTGTTTGTACTTGCTTCTTAATGTTCATTGACATTGAAGTCATATATAGACTAATGTACGAAAAACTCGTGGAACTCCCTTTTCCAACAGCACGAAGTCTAAAATGCGAAATATAGTTGGCTAATACAAGGATATCAATGGTATGAAACCAACAAAAACAAACGTAAAAATGATCCCATTCTAGAGCTCTATAATCATACAAGAAATTTGATTCATGTGTCCGAACGATGGCTATGAACTGCCATCTTCTTTCTTCTCGAATTATATCTTTTACTTGCTTTTTCTTATGAAGAGGAATTTATGACGAATCTCAGTGATTTTAACACTGCAATATTGCCGATCAGTATTACACAGACACATTTCCAGTCAACTAGATTGATCAGTGTGGTTGTGAGTGTGAATGGGTGTCTGTAGACATGAGTATGGTGTGGGTGAGATGTGAGCATGTGTCGATGTGGGTGTGCGTAGATGTGAATATTTTATTAATCTATCGTGTACGCTCGCATCCAATACACTCTCACACATTCGTACATCCACACCTCACTCATATTCTCGAGGCAATGAAGTGAGAATTGTTAGGCAAATGTGGTACGTGGATTTTGATTCATGTGGCTCGACTCCTTGCAATTGCATCTTAACTTCTGGCTATCACTGACACGCACGCCTACCCACGCCGATTCTTCAATTATTTGCAGTTGATATAGCTTGCAACTTGTTAGAAGTATTTTTTTAGTTTTTATTAAATGAGGCTTTTTCCATTAAATGATTATCATATATATAGCTCTTTTCCATCCCAGCACTTCGGAAAATAAATATGTACACCATTAATGCGAGAACTGCGTGATTTAAAAGCGGAAAATAGTTAGAAATTGTTCGTCTAAACCGGAGACACTATCACTAGACATTACAATCTATTAGGTTTTTCCCACTTACCTCTCACCTGCTAATCAGCCAAATTTAGTTTCTTTCCGTATACAAATATGTTTTTTTCATCACGAGAGCATGGCTTTATATACGCGAAGAACAAATAATTACTGGAAATAAACCCAAAAGAAACAGTTTATGTCGTCATCCAATGAAAGAATTGATTTCTGCTAGGTGTCACTATAATACAAAACGACCCTAGGGAAAATCTTTGATACTTCGGTAGCAGATCTTCAGCAAATCAGATAACGATCTTGAAAGGATTTGCCATTTTTTCCTGAGGAAACGACTGAATCCTGAAAGATGCGTGAAGCCACGGTTTATTAGGATCCTGACAGGATTTTAATCAAGAAGCAATTAGGATTCTTAACTGTTTATTATTATTAGAACATCAGGCTCCGTCCAAGAAATCTCGAAATCCCGAAAGAAGCGTGTAGCCACGATTTAGCAGGATCGTGTTGGGATTCAAATCAGGAAAAACAAGGATATCAACAAGATTATCATTGCTTGAAAGTAAGGATCGTGTCAGGAAACCATTGAATCCTGAAAGAAGCGTGTAGCCACGGAATTGTAGGATCCTGCCAGGATTTCAATAATTCAAAATTAAAAAAAAAACAGATTTCTGATGATTACATCTTTCAGGATTTCGCTCGGTTTTCTTCAAGATGTTATCAAATTTCCTGACAGGATCTTTGTAGGATTGGATCAGGTTTCCTCCAGAATGTCATCAGTTTCTTGGCAGGATCTTTGCAGGATTTCCTAAATAGAACAGAAAATATATGAACACATAGAGTATCGATCTCTAGACCTTCAGTATACATACCGATCAGCTTACCCAGCTGGATGTGCCATGTCATTCCATATCACTTTAACGTTCAATATGCTAATTTTGACCTTAATCTTAACTTCTATTTGAATTCTATCTGAATACAAATTGTTTCAAAAAATTCTGAAAATTCGATACCATTTTACATATTCTTTTAGTCGCTGTCATTTTGCTATTGTTTTTAATTTCAATTTTATTTAAAAAATATGTTTAATTTTTTTTTCAATTTAATCCTATTTAAAAATATTTTTTGAATTGTTTTTTAATTTCAATTCGATTTAAAAAATATACTTTGAATTCTTCTTTTATTCCAATTCGATTAAAAAAAATCTTTTTTGAATTGTTTTGGAATGTAATTCTATTTAAAAAATATATTTTGATTTTTTTTCAAACGTAGCCAAAACTGTAAGCAGTTTTTATCGAAAGGCTTCCTGCTGAATAAAACTATATATTTACAGAAAAAATATTTTACGATGACTAAATTCAAATTAATATCCTAATTTAATAATTTCAATTTTCTTTTTCTGATAAGCTTAAAAAAGAACTTATTGCTGTAGCCGAATCTCAAAACAACTTATATAAACTAAAAAGAAATTTAGAGAATATTTTTTTCTAAGATTTGTAAGATTCGTTCTATTAGTGTATGGAAAGAATTACATCAAGATCAGCATAAAAATGCCACTAGTTTGTTCAGTTCTCAGAATTTTTTCGTCTTTCGAACAAAAACACATTAACATCTTAAAAATCCTTCTATTTTTTTTTTTATTGAAATTTTTCTCAACATTGATATTGAAATGCTGTTGCAGTCTATAAATTCACAAATCTTGAAAGGATCCTGATCTGAGCGTACGTTAGCTGAAAGTGTCAGGGAACCGTTTCATTCATTCTTATTAGGTTCCTGATAACATCCTGAAAATTAAATTTTGAATAGTCTCTAAATATAGACCTGGAAAGATCTTTACTAGTTCCTTGTATTTTCTTATCAAGATTCTGCTGATACTTGCATTTATTTTCTAAGTATTCGAAATGCCTGTTCTTGAACAGTTCCGCTGAGGGACCTGATCAATGTTTGACAGGATTTTTTAGTTGAGGACGGTGACTAATCTTTTTTTATTTTTGATATGATCCTTTTCTAATATAACTATGACAGTTGGCAGAATCCTTGTATCAGGATCTAGGGTACATTTTGACTCAAACCTAATGAAATCTTGATAGAATTTTCTTTATGATTTTTGTCAGATTCCTGAAGAGGATTAACGGTGAATCTTAGTAAGATCCTACAAACTCAATTCAGAAAAAAATCTGACCAAGAACGTGAACAAATCTTGAATAGAATCCTGAAACAAACCTGACAGGATCCTTGAGATTTATGATTTGGAAAGATTCTTCAAGGCTATCTCAAGAAATTGGCATGGTCGAGTGGACTAAGCAGCAACCTGTAAAGATCTCTGCTAAATCCTTACATGTTCTTATCAAGATCGTGATTAGAATTGACATTGTCTTGCAAGTTTTGGAAACGCATATTCTTGAAAAAGTTCTGAACAAGATCCTGATTGAAGCTTTCCAGGATTAGTCTGTTTCATATTCTGACAGATCTTATTATTTTCTTGCCAGGATCCTCGTCTGATGTGGCTATCACTCTTGACAGGATCCTAATACAAAGATTTGTCCTAGATCCTGACGAGAACCCGATACAATCTTGGCAGAATCCTCTCTCATTATTTTGAGAGAATCCTTAATAGAATCTTGAGGAGATCCTGATAGGATTCTGTATTCTCAACTCAGAAAAATATCTGAGCAGGAACTTGAAGAAATCCTGAACAGGATCTTGTTTCACCTTAAAAATCCAGGAGACAGGAAATACTAAGGATTTGAAGCAGGATCCTGAATAAAAGCTTGACAAGATCCTTAAGATTCAGGATCCTGAAAGATCCTTTCAAGGTTTCTCAAGGAATGAACAGGATTGAAACTAGGGGATGGACAAAAACTTTACGCGGTCTATTATTATTCAGACCCTCCTATCGGCTCTTCTATCCAATTATTTTATTAATTATCTTTATTTTCTCTACAATCTGTTAATCATATGCCTAATTGGGAATATTTGATGTGAGTGTGGGTGTGGGTGTGAAGAAAATGTACACCCAAATCCACCACACCCTTCTTTGAAAATAAAAGATAGATGAAGAAGATTTCAGTTTTTGACAATCATTTTACGTCTTACCTTATTCTTTGAGAAAGAAAAAATTGAACAAGTATCAATCGAAATAATGTGATAGTAAGAAAATCATGCTCTGACTCTTAGTTGGCAGATTTTTATAGACATAAACTAACGTGGCTTTTTTTATCGAATAGTTTTTGTACACTGTTAACTGTCATACCGTTAAATCTACGTTTACGTCTACGTTCTCTTTTTTTTTCAATGTTTCTTTCATTCATTTAATCAGTAGTGTGTAATGACTGATATGACAGAACAATCTATGAAGAAGCCTTTTTCTCTTCTTTTCTTTTTCAATAATGTCAATAGAATATGTCAGATGCATTTATTCACGAAGCATGTTTCTCTTCACAATAGAGGGTGTGGGTGTGGGTATCGGTGTGGGTATGATTAGGTTTTTAGATGAGAAAATATCGAAAATAACATTGAAATCCACACTCACACCCACACCGTATGAATAACACTATAGTGTTAGTTCGATTCCAATATGAGGACCGCAATACCTGAAAACAATTTTGTAAAACTTTTACATATACAAATATGGGCTAAAAAAGAAGTATGTTGATAACAGTTACAGAAAAGGAGTTACAAAAAAGTAGTTATTCATCAAAAAGATATGGTAAAAACTATACTTACCAATGATAGAGTATCCGAAAGCGAAATTCTCAACTTCTTCGAGTGTTCTCGACGTCAGATGAATCGTATCTTTCTGGAATGATTTTGCAGTTTTGTTGTGTAACATATTGATACTAGCTACTTATCTGATCTTCTTCCTAGCATGCTTCTTTTCTTAACTTTATTAACTGCGCATTACACTGTGAGGAGCTACGCATATCAACTACAAAACATTCTAGAAAGGAAGAGAGAAAAGAAGAAGAAGGTCTGATAAGAATATATACTAGACTAAAAACGAATATAAGTACTGTCTTCTAGTAATAGTTTTGGATTTTCACTTTTTTTAAAACAATAAGGACGTGAGTGCTGGTGTGACTGTGACTATCGGCTGTGGCTTTCGGTATGGCTGCAGGTGTGGATGTGGCTGTCAGTGGGCGTGTGGATGTTTGAGTGTTCGTGTAAG